GGGAGGGAGGCGTCTTTTTTCTCCTACCTAAAGTAAAAGCAACTACAATGAATTGATAATCACCGCGAAGGGGAATTATCACAAAGCCCATGCCCTCAATTGACGGAATCAATCACCATCGAATTCGAGACGCCGGCCAATCCTGAATTTATCCAGGGCTCATTTCGCTGAGTTTCGCGGCAAACTCGACCGGTGTACTTTGGCGGCAATGGGGGTTCACCGGGAGGTGTCGGGCCCGAACGTCGAGGATTATTTCAACCCAAAACACCGGACGCCTGGCTTTCTTGGAGGACACCCTGATGGAAATACGTCATGGACGGTATAGTTAATGTGGTTGGGATGATACCGTTATGCAGACCTTTTTGGAGTGTCGAAAAGGGTGTGAATCGAGTGCATCCACCAATCCTTTTCGGAAAGACCGGGCGCAACTGTTTTGAGTTCTTCAGCATCGATTGAATTCGAGGCAATAGTTTGAAAACCTGGCTAATCGCGGTGGAACATCGTGGCTTTTTAGGCAACGGGTCGCAATCGAGATCGGGTTGTGAGGTTCCGCATTTTAGAACGTCTGCGCACATTTATTGGAATAATCCCGAATCGGCCAAAGGCCTTGGTTTAACTGATCCAATCGAAGCGGTTGTGCGCACACCCCAGACGAGAATTTCGTGTGGTTCCGACAATTCCTGAAAGAATCTACAAGTTTGACAACTACCCAGCTTCGACACCGTCCATCAAACGCGTTCGGTGGTTAAAACGGTTTGACGGCCCAATTGTGCGGGAGTCAATCTTTTCAACCGTGAAACTATTAATGCCGATTGGGGTAGGGGAATACTTTATGCAGATGGTTTTAGCCACATCTTTCCCGAAAAGAACACTTTGGATTGATATTTGCCTCTTTTGTTTCACGGGATGCGTCGGAATTTTTATTATTATTAACGTCTCCGGTAAATCGGAAAAGAGAAAATTTAAATCGCATATTGAATTTACACATATAATTGTTAAACCTGTAGAGATACAAACTACTCAGCAAACGCTGTGAGCTAGGCTAGTATTCTATAAACAAGTTCGTATTCATTGCCTCGTGTTTTGTCTAAACTTCTTTACCTTATTTTGGCTTTCGTGACGATGTTAATTTTCTATGAGAAGGCGATGTATTTATTTTTATTTATTTGTATTCTATTGAAATTATAGTTTAGTATTATACTCATACATATCCTATCTTTTTAAACAGATTGCGTTAAGAAAACATTCTTATGGATGGCATTAATATTGTTTTCATCTCTGTTACTTTTCTGTAGATCTAATTTTTATTTTGAGCTTTTAATGATAAAGCTCAAGAATCTAATAGCTTTCAGTCAAATAAAAAAGTTCACATCACTTCTTCGCTTTTTTTTAAATTTCATCAAACTAGAAAGTAGGAAAAAAATCGTCTCATTTGTTGTTAGATGGTGATCTTATATTATTTACTTTTCTACTTTAAATCTTCGGATTACTGATATAAAATTGAATAATGTGGATATTTTATTAAATGCAAACGATATGATACTATTGATGATGATGGTTTTCATGGAAGAAGCCGTTAGTCGCGAGTTTCACAAGAAACCAAGAAAAAAATCTGGAAGGATAATATCCTGAGAAGAATTTTCAAAAATGTTGTAAACTAATTAACCAGATTTCGAGGGGAGGACTGCTCGAATGTATGCGTACTTTATATACCGATAAGCTTTAAACCATTGCCAAGTTCGCTCAGCGACATCTCATGTAGGTTTCCCTTCTTGGTGCTTGTTATGACGGCTTCTTTTCCTAACTTTGACCCATCATTAAAGTCGATTTAGAAAAGTATTCAATCAAAACACAAACCCGTACGTCTCCCTATGGATAATCTTGTACCAATAGTGGTTGCCCTAGTGGGCATCCTCATCATTTTTGTACTCTTTAAAAGTATTAACAATATAGATGTAAAGGTGGCGGCGGTGCCGGCAACGACGGAACTCACCCGAAAGCCTCGACATAAGAAAGCTCTGAACAGGCGAAACACGGAGGATGAGCTGGGGCGTGAGGCCGAGGATCTCATCGCCCGCGAAATCGCCAAGGGCCTGCACAACACCGGCATGAACACGGACACCAAGCGTATCCAGCCCGAGGTCCTCGAGCGCGATCAGGGACGGCACCAGGCGAGGGCGCTTCCCAAGAACCACGCCACCGCGAACGCGCAGGTTGAGAATGAGACCCCATCGGAGAAGGATCAATTATTCAAGACCGTTCAATATTTTACGCGTCCCAACAAGAAGAAGAAGGAACAAACCTACAAGTCTGAAGATGACATCAACCAAAAAATGCTGAATTTTTTTAAAAACAATAAATCACAAAAATCTTTCAAAAATAAGGATAACAACGTCGAAGAGGATATGCCACAAGTCGATGTAGGTGGTCACGTGCTGACTTATGGCGCTCTCAACATGGCTCGCACCTGGAATGATTTACATTAATTGTCTATTCAGAT